GCACGGCATGTACACACAGCATTACCATCTTTGTCGTCTTCGTCAGTACCGTCATCTTCATCCTCCTTGATGCCCAAGCCAAGAGCGATGGAAGTCCTCTCTACTTCACCTGCATCTGAAGGAAAATGGACAGAGTGATGAAGAAGGGCAATTTCCATTTTCAGAAACATCCAACTTAATGTCATGACTATTCCATCTTGCTTTATATCTCAAGACGATTTTCATTCGTCTGCCCCAAAATTACACCGTATTTTCCTCTTTCCTGATTCAGACTACATGGATCTTATGACATATATTCATCCATTAAACATCAATCATTTTTTATTATATGGTGTAGTTTAGTTACGATCAGCAAGCCAGTCACAAGCTTGAGCTTATTAGGCTCAGCGACCTCTTCCTGATTAAGTCTTCTCTTCATGGATAGTTACCTGCTCAAAAAGGAGGACGTGGGTCATTCTATAAATTAGGGGTCCAATTTTTATTTGTGTCTCGGTCATATCTGACACACAATTTTGTACGTTTAGAACAAATTCTTTAATTTCCAAGAGTGATGAATTAATGCAAATTACCTGCCAAACGAATGAAAATAGTTTGAAATCAATTTCAGTGATATTTCCATGTCTGATTACACAGGTCAGGTGTAACAAGGACACAAAAATGTCAAACTTTTGGACCCTGAAATTATAGAATGACCCACACATATGCCATAACTGCATATTAACATACCATTTAAACCTACAACTTTCAGTCAGAGCAAATATGCGTAAATTGATTCATGCTTATTTTAAACCGTATTAAAAATGACATTCCAGAGATACAGGTATGTAATACAAAACTGCTGCAAACTGCTTGCTGACTACAGTGACCTAAAAAACAAATCACAAAATATGGAGGGCCTGACGTTTCGATCCTACATGTAACAGAATCTTTCCGCTGACATTAACGACATACTTGGACATAATATGGAGTACAAAACGATCACAAACTGGTTCCACCTACTGACCATCTGAAATGACCAAATCATTCAAGACATGCAAGTTGCAAAGTCCCCATGTTAACAGTCTACACACACACACTGTACCAGATGATTGGGACCGTCAGGCCTTCTGCCTTGAAAGCTTTGATAAAGAAATAGAAGTCACAAAGAGTATACCTGTTGCCATGGCAGCTGGAGACCCAGGCAGTGTGATACTTTCACCTTTGCCCTTATCCCTCTGTAACCTCTGTAACTGCTTTTGTTTCTTCTTTTCTTCTGCTTCCCTCTGCACCAGAAATAGGGTAAACATTTCAGCCGACCTTTATCAGATGTCAGTCAAACTGATCTGAAAGGGAGGTTAACATTCTAAATTTTGGAAACCTAAGACCAGAGATGACAGCAATGAAAACAGGTACATTAATCCCTTTGCTATGGATGACTGCTACATACAGTCTATTCACCATGCAGCTGCTGGTTCAATGGGGCCTGCTGCTGGACAAAGCCCTCCATTCAGGGCATGCCACAGGCCAGCAGTCACGGTCAAAATAATCCCGTCGTGAAGGGTTAAAGGCTCATTTCATTTATGATGATGAAGAATTTTAAATTAGCTCAGTGTGTATTTTTAAATGCACACTAAAATACCAGAGATTTTTGTGGCATATTGTACAATCTGCAGCACACCTTCCTTCATTGCTGTTTTGTTTTCACAGATAATTTGGAAGTTTCACCTGTTCTTTCTTAATTCTTTCATATTCTGGCTTGTACTCCCTGCAATAAAGATTAAAAACACCACATGAGAATTTCAGGCAAACATAGCAAACCAGACCAAAGGGGGCATCATAAGATTTTGAAGGGAGCCTGTCATTTTCACTATGTGGATTTGTGGAAGCACAGTGAGGGAGATGCCGAGGGGGACAGTCGCAGATCTTGGGAAAACAATGTGATCAAACGGTACTTGAACCTCTTTTGATCGGACCCTATCCACCTGAAGCTGCAGTGCACCCACACTGGCAAGGAAGAAATGAGAATGGTGGGACGTTTTCTCAACCGCCCTTGTGCACGCGCTCAATGCGCTCGATGCGCACGGCAAGAGTGTATCTGCTCCGAGCGGAACAAAAGAGGGCTTTTTTTAGTGCTCACTGCATAGGCACGGCATGAGGCGCGCAAGTATATACGCGTTTGACGCGAAGCTAGCAGAGTACGCTAAACTAATTTATTCCAGCATGTATGGTCTTTGCCCACACACAGAACGTGTGCAAGAACCCGCTTGTGACCACCTGTCTTTCTTTCGCCGATGGGGGTGCACTTCAGCTCGGGGCGGATACTCAGAAAGAAATTTGGTTTTGCTTGCTCAGTGCATTCCGCACAAAATGCACATACATGTAAACCTGTGCGCGCATACTGGGTTGCCACTGAGGGACCCGGTATGACGCCCTCTTTTGGTCCCACCTGGAATGGATAGTTTTCACTCACGTTTCGTATTCACTGACTGCTTCTTGGACGGCCTTGAAGAACTCGTCAAGTCCCTGGCCAGTGACAGCAGACACGCCCACAGCCTGGCAACAAGTGTAGGACAAAGAAAATCACTCTTTTATGTCAGGTGTCGTTCCCTACACTGACGCGTATTTATAAAGACTCTAAACTCGGTGCATGAAACCAGAAATGGGAAATCACGCTCAAGAAGGCTGATTCATGCTTAACAAAAAAATGAACATGAGCATGGTTTGGACAAGGCAACTTTTTTGTGCTGCAAACTCACAAAAATTGATCGCATTCAATTCAGACGAATTTCAACGCAGATATTTTGTGATTTCAAACTCATTTCATTTTTGCTTGGAGTATGAACTCATCTTTATGGAAACTTTATGGAACTTTAGGCCAACTGCCGCTGGTTTGCAGAAGGAAAAAAAAAATTACAAAATGGCAATACTATGCAATGCTCAAGTCCATGAGGGCATACAGATATGCATGTTTCATGTTTTGCCGATAGTGGATACTTCTCAGCAGGGCATAGAATCATGGATGGTATGTAGTCAGGGTCTTGTCCAGAACCTTCAAATCCCATCAGCGAAGCCTGAAAGTGCCAGTAGCCCGTTTAAGCCTGAAATACGGGCGATTCATAATAGTGCGCCTCCGGAAGTTTGCAACGCCTTGGCCAATCACAATGCGCAAAATCTGTTGACCCTTTTCAAACGCGCATTTGGCCGACAGATTGCGTGCATCATGACTGGCCACGCGTTGCAAACTCTTGAAGGCGCACTACTGTGAATCGCCCGGATTAAACTGGCATTTTCCATGATAAAGCCAGAGATCAGGCTTTTGCCAGAAAACATGTATGTTTAAATAGATGTAAGACTGAATAGAAGTAAGTTTTACTTCAATCGTTTTGTCCTGTGCAAATTTTGGTCTTATGTACCCCCACACAAACTGCACGAGTGTCACGAAGGGTGTAAGAGTATAAAAGTGTCAATAAATATCATATTTGAGGGGTGTATATGTATGGATGTACCATATTGCTTCAATTAAGACATATGATTATCTCTCCTGGCTGCATCGGCAACAGTGTCTCTGAATTTACTGACTTTTCAATAGCCAAGCAGAGGGCATAAGCTACACACTGACACCGAGTCAGTCATCAAACGAGGAATTTGAGGTTTACGGACTCTCAGATTCTGATAGAACTCATCCAAGACCAGGCTCATGGACCGCGTCAGGTTGGAGGTGTAGGATGTCTCCTGATTCAAAGCATCCTGGAAGGCTTCAAAGTCTCGCATCCACTCCAAGGCAAACTCGCTGTCCACGATGTCCACCTGTCCGGCAGAGTGCAGTCCAATGTACATGTATTAAACCAGGTAAATTGTAATGCCACTGTATGATATAAACAGTTTTCAATCCCCAATTTAACGAATCTATGTCTGGCTCTTCGGCTCATGGTTTTGGAACCCCTGGCTGAATGCAGGTCGAATTGTGGGCAAGAGAGTATAGAGGCAATACGTCATTTGAACCGGAAAGTAAGGCTGCATCCGAATCTCTTGTCTAGAGCTACATGTAGGTCTAGGTCTTCACTCCATTAGAAATGGGTGGAGACGCGTAGACAATAGACCTAGCCGTAGCTATGGAAGCCCGTTTCGGACACCGCCTAAGGTGCAAACAAACAAGAGTGTGCGAGCATGTTGGTTCACATTCTGGTTCTTAGGCTAATGTCTTTTCTACACATAACAGTGCACGTGGCATATTGACTTTGGTGCTCTTTAAGAATACGAAATCTCACACTTTGCCGAATGCTACAGTCTTGACATCATTTACACACTGTTAAAAGGTCTGTGCAATGCACTTTTCTTTTACGACAACCCTTGTCCAATGCCAACGGCAGTGTTCAATAGAAATAATCCTAATGCACTTTGCCTACCTTGTTCATTGCCACCACCAGGGGGAGTTTGTACTTATATAGAATGCTGGCAAAGGAAAACAAAATATTGAACTGCATAAGTTTAGGTACATGTAGCTACCCATCTAAAATAATGCACGGTGTCCATTATGGATGTCCGGGCATCTACTGCAGCAAACCACTGTCCATTTGGCAATAGGCATTTCAAAAAGCAATACAAAAATGAGGAAAGGGGTAATTCTTGAATTGTAGCCTTTACAAGCATCACAATGAAATGGAAAATTTTTAACAGTTTTGAAAATGAGTGGAATTCCCGTCATTTACACACCTACATGTAGGTCATGTGACTCAAATACATGCAGTCTAAGTTTGTTTGATTTAGGCAACAGACTCCACATTGTACAGCTAGATGGGGGGGTCTTTATCAAATAATTCCTGCATAACTCCTACAAAATCCTCTGAATTCTCCAGATGGAGTTCGTAGGATCAGAGGGAGTTTACAAGGTATGCATGACCCACTACATTCCTGATAGAGCATACATTCATTCATCATACGAAGTCAACTCACCTGCAGGCATACAACATATTGGACATGAACGTGACCGGGTTGACACTTCGTGCGGTGTCCATCACATACACAACTACTGTTGGGAAGGACGCCGCCTGAACAAAACAGGTTGACCATCAGTAAAGCAGACAATTCTTTTGATGGAGTTGGGAGGTTTTTGTGACGTTTGGGCATTTTGTACAAGGGGTATAAGAGGTGACTCAGGTTACACGTAAATTACCTGATGTGATGTCAAGCTACAAAATAGTAATCATTTTAAATGGTAGTAC